GATTGGACACTCTTCCATGTATAGGAAGCTGTGCTGGAGCTGTGTGGTGCCTAGCCGGCACTCCAAAGGTTGCAGGAAGGGTGTCTGTTGTGACTTCCCTGTAACCCCAATGACTGCTGCAGTCTTTTTGCTCATTTTAGTTAATTTCGAATTCAAAACTGAGTATGTTGCTCCAGTGTCCACCAAGAAATCAATCAGACGATCCCCCACAGCGAGGGTTACCCGGGGCTCTGAGGGGGTTATTCTAATGGGCTGTCTAGATCTAGTGGAGCCCCCGGGCACCCCTATTCTGCATCTGAACTTTCTCCATGAACTATCATCTGTCTCCTCTCCTCTGCACTTGGTTCTAGATTCCTTCTACTCTGTCTGTATTCCCTCCTATCTTCACCTGAGGCTCTACCCTGTGCTGTCATTTGTCTCCTGTCCTCTGTACTGGGCTCTCGATTCCTTCTCTGTCTGTATTCCCTGTCATCATCTGAGCCTCCACTCTGTGCTAACATTTGTCTTCTTTCCTCTCTCCTTGGTTCCTGGTTCTGTGTGCTCCTTCTATATTCCCTCCTGTAACCCCTACGTGAATCATCATGTCTTGGGGTTCTCTGTCTTCTATCCTGCCTTCTATAATTATTGCGTCTGCCGCTTCCCTGTAACCTGGGACAACTGTACTTCCAATGTCCCTCTTCCCTACAGAAAGCACACTGATTTCTTCCTAGGGGTTCACGTCTCTGTCCATTATTGTTTCCTTGAAACCCTGTTCTGTGTTCTCTTTGTAAAAAAACAGTCGCAGGTTTCGGTCTCCTGTGCTCTCTATTATTATAAACCCTGAATGCCAGGTCCACTACCTGGGACGGACTCATCTCAGTGACGCCGTCCACCTTAGCTAACTTTTTCTTTATGTCTGGGGCACTATGGGTAATGAAAGCCGTAGTGATCAGACGAGCATTTTCTGGGGCATCTGGGTTTATGTCCGTGTGGTTAGTGTAAGTTTGAATAATCCTCTCAAGGAACTCTGACGGATCCTCATTAGCTCCTTGCTCGAGTTCCAATATTTTGTTAAAGTTTTTTTGTTTGGGGATCCCCTGCTTCAGTCCTACCAATAAGCATTTTTTATAGAGATCCAACATCGCCGTTCCTCCATTGTTAGGGTCCCATCCAGGATCTCTCTCTGGGACAACAACCTCCGGCTCTGGGGACTGCCTATCCTGTTGGTGGAGACGGTCAGCCTCCTCCCTGGCTTTCCTGAATACCATCCTCTGCTCATCCAGCGTTAATAAAGTATGCAGCATGGACTGTATATCTGCCCAGTTAGGGCGGTGGGAGACAAAGATAGAGGCAAACAAGTTCGCCATCCTCTGAGGAGCCTGCCGGTACGAGGGAACAGAGCTCCTCCAATTTAGGAGGTCCGCAGTACTGAACGGATGGTGCGACCAAAAGTACCCAGCAGGTCTCCCATGTTCATTTAAGCCACCCATTGGCATCTGGCGAAGGGGAAACTGCCCTGCCTCAGGTTGATCCTTCCTGCCAAAATGGGTGCCGAGTCTAGTGTGGGGAGGGGACGCCATTTTAGTGTCCTCCCCAGAGGGCAGTGGAGGCTGTGCAGCCTCAGGGGTCTGCACGGGAGGGGCTTTGTCACGTGGAAGAGGATTTTGTCCTCGTGTATTTAAAGTATTTAAAATATGATGCTCCTCCTCTTCTAACTCTGCTCGCTGGCTGTCCTCATGGAAAGGGGAAGGTCTATCCTTTCTCTGCACCATTAGCCTAGCCTTCGCCTCCGCCATATCTAATTTATGGAGGGCGGCCTGCATCTGGTCCTGCATACCTTTAAAAGCTGACTCAAAAGTCCGATTTTGTTGTTGCACTTGATACAGCATGCTTTGATAAGCTGACTCAAAAACATTACGATTTTCATCCCTTATACTCTTAATAGTTAAATCAAAAACCTGATTTAGTTGTTGTATGGCCACGTTAAAAGCCTGAATTTGTTGTTGCACATTCTCAGTATGTGAAGTAGAACTTCTACCTCTCACAGAAACAAGAATGTAGCAAACTGCGCTTACACATATTACCAAAAAACCACCCAGAAGCACAGTCTGTAAAGGGATGGCTTGTAAACCACCCATGTATGTATACAATAGTAAAATCACATGCCATACACCAGGCTTCATCAAATTATTTATATTAATGAAACTGGTGGTGATATTTAATGGAAGAAGGCTGCTCAAATTCAAGGCCGGAAGGAAACTGAAAGAACTCAGGCTAGGGATGAAACTGTATAGGCTCATGGTTGAGGCCATATTTGAGTCAAAACACACCCACAAGGGCTGTACGCACAGGGAAAAAAACAGACTTTTCAGGACTAGAGACAAATATTATACTGCTAGTCCTGCAGAACTAGTGCGCTTATGGTGACCAACGCAAGGGATGTTACTTTGGGCTGGTCAACCGCGGGTGTAACTTGGAAACCACGCTGGGCGCCAAACTGTTGTAGAGCAACCCCGATACAAAACGGGGTGCCTGACTGTGGGTCCTCACCCGCGCGCTTAAAAGGACTTATCAATGCTCTACTGCAGGCACACGTGAAAGGTTAATAAAAGGTTTATTTACAACGGAAAGGGAAATGAGGAAATGTACAGCTCTGGGAGAAAAGTGGGAGACAAAGTTTTAAATGCGTCCTACCCGATCCGCCGATCAGGAATCCCAAAATGGCGCTCTCAGTTGGCCGCCAGCCAGGAGCGGTGAAGCCAGGAGGCGAGCGATCGCGAGCCAGAGAGAGAGCAAGGCCCACGTGTTTGGTTTTTATATCCAACCTGGCTGCCCAACTCCACCCTCAGGTCCCAGCCACCCTCCCCTTGGTGGTGATGGGATTTGTCTTTCCCAGTGTCCTGATGGCTTTAGTCTGGAGTGGGGGTGGAGTCCACAAAGCCTGTATGAGATTATCTCAGGACATCCTTTCCCCCTAACACTATGTCCCATGTGCGTTAAACCGAGTGAAGCCCCACTCCAGGAGATGGGGCTTTCTGGCATCCAGGAGCTTGTGCCTGGGCCTGCAGCTGACCTCAGTCACCTGCAGCTTGGTGCTGGCTGGTGTGATGACTGGGCTGCTGCGCGCCTGGTCGCTGTGCCTGGGGCTGTCCAGAGGCAACTTGAAGGCCTGTGTAGAGCTTGTTAGCTCTAGCCCTGGACAGCTTTCTGGTGCAGCGGGTGATGTGGCAGGTGCAGCCGTTCTCAAGGCTGAAGGCCAGCTTGGCCACAGCTCTTCTCCACGCGCTTGTTGGCCTGAACACAGGCAGCTTCCGGGCTTGGGAGAAGAGTTGCTCACGCTCATCTGACACCATGTTAGCCGAGGTTTCTGGCCTGAACCAAGATCCGGGTGCTCCTTGCCTGGTGGTGCCACCACTCTTCATCCCTGAACTGCCCTCATGCCGCAGACCAGTACGGCAGTAGACGATGAGGCCGTCTCAGGGTTGAGAGAAATGCGCAGGGTGGTTAGGGAGTCGGCGAAAGAAATGACAGACAGACACACTTCAAGAGAGAGTGTAAATCTGAGTGTAATTCTCTTTGAGTTTGTGACCAGTATATATATGTTTTCTAAAAGCATAGGAACAGTGAATATCAACGAAATCCACTTGCTCATGGGTTTAGCTTATCATTGACAGGGCAGTGATTTACATCTGGACCCAGCCCCATTCCTAAGTAGATAGACCATTAGTTTTGTTTTTAAACTATATAATTGCATTTTTTGTTTTACTACTTTTTCACCTAAACTGTATTTTAATTATTATTATTACACAGGGTTTAGTAATGTTTTATTTGAGTCAGCCTTGTTTAAGGATTTCATATGATTTTTTAATTAACAACCAATGACCTTTATAGAAGAAAGAAGGAAGTTTAGAAAGACAATAAGGGAATAAAGTTTGTAGTTCTAGAAAGACGAGATAAGGTTTTTTGTAGTAGTATTCTTGTAGTGGTTCCTGGTGGTCCTTATCTTTTGATAAGTGTCTGTCTTATCTATGTCTTCAGGGAACTTTACTGTACTCCCCTCGCGCTGGTTCCTTGCCCAGCCGGACCTAGGGACCGTGGCGAAAGCCATTAGCCCTAAAGGTCACTGCAGGGGGAGGTGCAGCACCCTCACGTGGCACGTCCTTGCCTCAGAGCGGCCCTGCATCCTGACGGTGGAGGCACCTGGTTCCAGCCTCATTCCGTACAGACAGAGAGCAGGTCCTTGGACGCCTTTCTGGTGTTTTGTTTTTTTTTTTTTTTTTTTTAATTTATAAGAGGGCTGGGTAAGATGGCCTCTAAAATTCTCTCCTTTTCTCAGATCTTACAGTGACATGACTGGGTGCTATGACGCGCCCCTGAATTCATAGCATGTGTTTATACGCAGTAACTTACTATTTCTCCTTATTGTGTGATGTGGCTGGGCTGGACTGCTCTGCCAGTCTGGACCCAGCGGCCTATCTCCTGGCCCCCTGGGTGCGCCTGTGAGGGCAGGCCCCTCCCTGTCCTCTTTGGTCCTGAGAGGCCAGGCTGGCTGCTTAGCATGACCACATCACCATGTGTGAGCATTTGATCTCGCATTTGCTTGCTTCAGAGAGACCTTCCCCCACAGCCTCCCTGGTAACTACCCGCCTTCTCCCCTGAGTGGTCTTGGTCAGAATCTTCTTAGAAGTAGTAGTTCATTGAGACCAAATAAAAGTTTGATATGACAGCTACTGGTTAGACACTGTATCAGACTAAGTGTAATCATTGATTTATAAAATTTCTTTTGTGGCATGATCGTTCTCTGGGACCTTTGCTGTTTTCATAAGATAAGCCTGAAGCATTTGGTAATGAGGCTACAAAGTTCGCTTGTCACCTGGTCACTCCGGGCGTCCATGTTAGCCTTAGATGTAAGCTACTACGTTGCCAGTGATGGCTATCTCAGGGAACATTTAAATTTCCGTTACAGCAGTGGAATAGAATGTTTAATAACCTTGTTGGGGGATTTTGTGTTTGTTTTTTAGCTCTTCAGAGAAGTAAGAATAATGAAGATTTTAAACCATCCAAACATAGGTACTTTCCACTTTCTTAAATTCATTTGGGTCTAAATATATTCTTCAAAGTATGTCATAAAGCAAAATTGAGCACAGGAGTGATAGGAGATTTCTCCCTCCAGTCTGGGCACACTTTTAATTAAAATATATATATACCCTCACTCACAAATTACTGTGTTAACTTTTGGGATTACTAAAGATAGGTTAAAAGATAAATTAAAAATGCATTAAAGTTTAAGACGTCAGTGCATTAGGAATGTGTGTAATTATAATTTTCAGTTTTTTGATATGCTAGAGATTGTATTTAATTAGTAGACAGAGACAAGGGAATTATAATCGGAGTGTTATTTTCAACAGTGTAATGCTTGTTGTGACTGTGTGCCTGAGAAAATCCTGACACTGAATATTTTAAAAGATAAGGGGTACTTGATACCTAATGGAACTTACACAGCGCACCTCTGTGCACACCCTGGTGCTGGGTGCCATGAGGGGCGGTTCAAGATGCAGGGGCATGTCTGGCCCTGCTCATAATTGTACACAGGTCCCTTAATCTGGACCTTGTTGTATGAATATTCCTGTTTTGAAGATGTTGGATCCCGCATATACCGTAATAGAGCATTTATTAAATAATGTATGTGCTTTTTTGTACACAGTAATACTAACAACCCAGAAAGATTATTTCATGAGTGAAATAGCTATTAAGCTAGTCAATAGAATCTGTTTACCATCCAAGTCAGTTTTAGGAGGTGGGAGGGGTGATGCTTGGTGTCAGAATTATTGAAGCAAAAGTATAGAATGATGAAGTGGAACCACAGGAGAGAAATAACTTTTGCCCCTCATTTTATCAAATCTAACCCTAGCCATCCTTTAGAAGACACCAATACTTTGCATGCTACTGGGAAAGCGAATGCTGCCAAGTACCTCCCCAGTCAGCCACCTTCGTTAAAAAGTGAAAAAAAATCTTAGAATCAGTGAAAGATTTGGAGAAAAGAAAATTAATAAGGAATATAATAGTGGAAAGAAAACCTTTCTTCACCTTTTCAACCCTTGGGATTAGCTAGTCAAATTTGGATTTTAAAGTGTAACTTTTCATACACACACACTCCACTTTCTCACGGCTGCCTAGACATAGCTAACTGAAACATATTTTTGTTTTTTAAATACTTGAGTTGTGCCCTGATCAGAGTTCTCTCTAGTTACTACTAAATAACATATCTGTCATAAAAGATTTAAATTTCTCAAGTTTTAAATTCCTATTGGATTAAAATATTCCAGAAAAACCAATGTTTACATTGAAATTTTAGAAAGACTTTATGTCAATGGTTTACCAGCACATATACCTTAAAAATCTTCAAATGATTTTTCTTGACAGCCTTAACACACACCCAAGGAATGGTGTGATAGTAATTTTGCAGTTCAGCAAACATTTGTAAATTGCTATGATAGGTACTCTGTCCTAATACTCTGTATTAAAGCATACCAAAAAAAAAAGGTCCACAATATAAGAGGCTAGCATTCCCTCTCCTTCCCCTTTTTGGAAATTTAATTTAAAATATATGTTACCAAAATAAAGTAGATATGCAAAATAATGATTTGATGGCTTTAGAAATTGACTTCATTTTCATTTAAAAATGTCTCTGTTTCACATGGGTTTGTTTGGGTTTTCCGAGTTGGCGGTAATTGAAATATTTCTGTCTGTAACTGCTGTAGTAAGTCCACACCAACTGACCCGTTGAAAATAATTTTTTTAAAAAGTTATTTTTAATCAGAGTATCATCCCTTTTACTTTCCACCTCCAGCTTCAGCATAGTCACAGGAGAACCTCGCTCTGAGAGTTGGGGTGTCGCCTGGAGAGCAAGCCTCAGGCTAAGACTCGAGTGTTCAAGCCCGTGAGACAGGTGGCTGGGCTGACACTGGCAGGCGCAGGCCCTGGTGTCCTTCAGTTCGGGTGTCACGACCGTGATTGCTGAGGAGCAGAGGGTGAGCTGCGGGGAGGGGCAGCTAGCTGGTAGGCCCGGGTCAGAGACAGAGGGAACAGATACACTTCAGAGAAGGCTGAGGGGCCTTGAAGGTACAGCTTTGAGCACCCAGAGGGAATATGCTTTCATAGAATTTTTTCTGTTGTAGTAGCTGTTACAGTCTCTACCAGGAAAAAGTTACTTTTGCAGTTACAAGTGTGTGGTACATGCATACAGATGTTGTTTCTTTTTCTCCCTCCCTCCCCTTCTCCCAGTGAAGTTATTTGAAGTAATTGAAACTGACAAAACACTCTACCTAATCATGGAGTACGCGAGCGGAGGTAAGAAATTTATGTATCTGGTTTTTTTCTCTTCCCCTCTAGGAGCACATGCGCCACACTCCCTATGTGGGCGATGGTTAAGGTTTCATCTAACGTCAGAGTTATAATACACGAGGAGGAAAATCAGAAATGTGTCCTTAAATGTGTCCTGACAATCAGAAATGATTAAGTACTAATTATTTGCCTACGAGACTATAGAAAAGGAGGCGTTGTTCTGAAATGCATGTACGTGGCTGTTTTGTTTGTTTCAACAAAGATTCTCATTTCATAGTCGAGGTCGATTGGACTCGCAGTGTTGGACCCAGCATGAGTTTCATCGTCTGTGGAGTTTCTTGTCATCGTGTGTTCTCTGCCTCTGGCACTTAAACTCAGCACACAGGCTGGACCTGAATTCCTGGAGTTACAAACTATTGCGGACATACCCTGTTAACTCTGCAGTGTAGCTGGGAGTTTTGTTGGAGTAGTTACTGCCTCACTAGCATTTTGACCTGGGCTGTAAAACCTGGAGACAGAAAACTGAATCACACCCTCGCTCCAGTGCGTTAGCCTTCGGTGAAAGTCAAAGATGCAGACCTGTCATGGGGAGGGAGGCCGTGTAGGAGGCGTACCTGTGACGCCAACTTTTTCTGATTCTGATTAGCTGTGTGATGCATGTTATAATAATATTTACATTATTGTGTGTGGTTTAAGAATTTTGTTGGGATTTTTATAGCTGAGGAGTAGTAGGAAGAGCAGGGGGGTGGGGTCTGACTGTGCTCGGCACAGCGCGGCGCTGGCACCTTGTCCTTGCGTAGCCTCCACGGTGTGGGAGGCGCATGTGCTCTTGCCTGGGGTCCGTGGGCGCGCTCCTGTGGGCCTTCACGGCGACTCCATGCCAAGACCCAGCAGCAAGGGGCTGCCCGTCCAACCTCAAGCACCCCGCCGCCCCCCCTTTAAGGCTGGGAAGTCTCACTGTGGTCACTCTGTCAGACCTGGAGCCCAGACTCTGACACCGTGTAGCCTGTCCCAGTTGGCCGGCCAGCCAGGCGTGCTCACGTCCCCCTGCTCTCTAGGTGCAGGGCAGAGTGGCTGCTCTCTACGGGGCAAAGACAGAGCTGAAAAGCATCCAGTTTAGCAGAAAGAATGGACTTTGGAAAAGACTGAGACGGGCTCAGCCGTCGGCTGTGCGACCTGCGCATCACCAGCCGCTGACGTCTCCCTTGGGGTCCCGGGCTTGGCTCAGCATCTCAGTGGGGTGGGGAGGGTTGGGGGGTTGTTAGATGGAAGTGCAGACTTTTAGAGACAGGCTCAGAAACTGTCCAGACAGCTCCTGGTTTTCACATGTGAAACCGAAACTCTGGAAAGTTGTGCTGTAAGCACTTCCATCCCTGCTTAGTGGCAGCACCTGGGACAGGACCAGGACTCCCTGCACTATCCCGCCCGGTCTCCATCCAGCCGCAAGCTGCCGGGTGGGCTTGGCCCTTTGCCTCTGAGAAAATGGCTGTTGCAGCTTTTCCCTTCAGCTGCTTCAATCTGGGCTAATACATTTTTAATGAGGAAAAAGAAATCTGGGTTGAATTTTGGTTTATAACTTAAGAGTTGTGAGTGTGACTTTGTGATTCCAGAAATCTTTTAAGAGGTTGAGACCGCATTTGAATTTATAAAAATAATGTAAAATTATGTTGACAGACTTAAACTTTATCTGGGTTACCCTGTAGCAACTACCGGGTTTAGCTCACTTCAGAATTGTTTTCTGTGATACACATAGGCCTTTGGTTGTCAGTTGCTTATCTTTATTAACCATTGGTGTTGACCTTGTATACTGTCCAGCGAATGGAAAGGTCAGATGTCTAGAAAATGCTGGCATTTTACTGACCTGACATTTAACTTCTTAACTCTTCATAAAGTAAATTAACAGTATGTAATGTTGCTGGGAGGGTTGCCCTGCAACGCCGCAGTATGAGAGTATTTATGCCCGTCCACTGCTGAATTTTACTCAGAGGTATAGGCTAAAAGTTTCAAAACCAGAGGTAGAAATGTGCAATTTGGAATGATTTTCCCCTCCACATTTTTAAATTATATTCTGAAGCCAAGCTTTTTTAAAGTACCAAAATACTTTAGTCAGATGTCACCACGGAGCTGATGGAAGTAGTCTTTATTTATATGACGTAGGCATGTTTCTTTCACAAGAACATTTTAATTTTCTGAATTAATAATCTTCAATAAAATTATAGCTCTTGTTGATTAGAGATGCTATTTCTGTATTCCAAATTGATAAGCATGTGGCAGTACCAATTAATTTTTTAAGTGTCTCCTTTCTCTACCTCAGTTTAGTTTACTGTGTAACCCACCTGCCAGCTGTCTGCCAGCCTCACTCACCCTCACGCCATGTTCTGAGCCCCTGCTTCTCTCCACGCCCGCCCCCTCCCACTTGAGCCCCAGCCACCCTCACGCTTGCCTTGATTATTACGCGACTCCCTGGCGGTCTCCCTGTCCTTCCCGACCCTGCCCCCCACCTCCTGGGAGCCGGGGCAGACCTTTGACATCAGCCATCTCAGCGTCTCTCCTCTGCCTCTCCTCTCACAGGAAATCCCACGTCCTTGCCAAAGCCCACAGGACTCTTCACGATCTTGCCCCTCCTAGCCACTTCCGCTTGTCCTCCCGCCACACTCCTCCAGCCATGTGACTCCTGCTCTTTCCTCTGCCTAGACTCTTCCTCCCAGATTACACCATTGTCCACTCCCTCTTAGAGGTGAGCACAATGTTTGCACACCTTACACATTTCCTGTTCCCTGTTTTCTCTCCTCAGTAGTTGTCACCACCCGGCCTGCTCTGTGATTGTCTGCTGTCTGTCTCCGCTACTGGCATGTGAAGAGGGACTTGGCGTCTTCCGCTGCTGCGGTGCCCAGAGCCTGCAGCTCTTTGGAGATGCGCGATCATGTTTATTGAATATATGAATGTATTTAGCTTTTTGGGGGGCGGGGTCATAACCCTACCGTAAAGAATTGAAAGAATGACTTGACACAAGTAATGTCCATTTTAACTTTGTTTTCATTGCTGAGTTTTTATTAAAGCATATCGAAAACATTGCCTTGAGATAAAAGTTGTGTAATGTAAACATGAGAATTTAACTTCAAGGCTTTTTTCTAGCTTCAACATTTTACTGATGAACTTAAGTGACTGTTGTTTAAACTTAAGGATAGCTTTGTTCAAATTCCACATATTTCTACTTATCTGTATGCCTGTTTACAAGTAAAAACTAGCGCACTGCCAAAAGTGAACCCCAATTTATGGGAGAATTAATGTTAGACATAGGACTTCTGATTACTCTTTTTCTTTCAATTTTAGGTGAAGTGTTTGACTATTTGGTTGCACATGGAAGAATGAAGGAAAAAGAAGCAAGAGCTAAATTTAGACAGGTATATAATGTACCCTTTGTTTATTAATTTAATGACATTATCTCACTTAAACCCAGAAGCTAGCAGTGAGTGCCACTAGAGAGACGCTCTCCCTTGGCTGGACCAGGGGCTGAACGTTGAGTTCAACAGAGTCCCTGTAAAGCACCTCTCATGCCCAAGGCTCTGTGCTACGGGCAGCTATCGCTTCTCTTCTAGCTTTGAAACTGGGGTTTAGTCTCATTCTTAACTTGAGTTTTTGAACCTTAAAAAATTAGTCTTTCAAAACACCTGTGATGTATTGACTAAAGCCAGTTTTTAGCTGGAGCATCACAATCCAATGTTTGTTATATTAGTTTTGTCTTACGCAAAAGCCAAATAAGATTTGTCCCTTAATGACTTTACCTTTTTCTTTGATTTTACCCCCTTCTTAGAGAAGTTTTAAGCATAAAGTGACTTGATTCTTATCCTCATCCCTGGATTTCTCCAAATTGAAAAGTTCAAAGCATAGGAAAATTATTTTTAGAGGTCACATAGTCAAGTGCTCTCTGAGCACCTGCATGCATGAGCACTAGTGAGTGTCTTCCTCTTAATTACGAGCTCATGACCACTAGCCTCGCCTCTCTCCTGTCAGATAGTCTCCGCGGTTCAATACTGCCATCAGAAGCGGATCGTCCACAGAGACCTCAAGGTGGGTGCTGCCCATCCCAGCGCGCTCTCCTGCCCGCACGCCCTTCTCTTGGTGGTCGCGACACGGCTGAGGTGTAGATTGTGTTAACGATGAGAAAAAGAATAAATCGCATGATCGAGTCTTTTTAATCAAGTTACAGTAATCACATTCACTAAAATAACACAAGGGGGGTTGACAGCATTTCACATTTCAGTTGAGGCAGCCCGTATTTTGACCCTGGAGGAAAGTCGCCACCAGACAGAGGCCTCTAGGAGTGACCTCACACTGGCACTCCCTCAGAGCTGCCGACACCCTGTTCTTTTTCCCTAGTTGGCACTGCCTCTGTGAGCAGCAGTGGCTGCTGGAGGCTTTCTCCACGGTCCTCCACCTCTGCCTCATGCTTGGCATAGGATACGGTTCCTGGTTCATGACGAATATAGAAACAGACAGAAGGTCCTCCCTCAGTTTCCAGCAGGCCCCAACCTTGGCTGCACCTGCACCCACCCTTCGCCTCTCAGAACCGTCCCTTGTCGAAGAGCCGTGGGGCCGCCTCTGTTCTCCTCTGTCTGCATCCTGTCTGCTAGCTTTTCTCACAGAAACATGTCAAGTGTTTGTAGACCAGCTCTTCGTGACACACCCTTTTTCTCTCTTCATCTTAACAGCCATATTTCTCCAAACATGAAAGGACATTTTCATTCTTGTCCTAGTGGTGGCACACATACTCCCCGTGGTCTGCTTTCCCGCCGGCACAGCACTTGTTGCTGAGAAGTGGCTGTGGCTGGTGCTTCCCTCCCGCGTGTCCTGTCAGGGTCCTGACTCCCCCCTAAGCAGCTGTGCGTGAGTCAGAGGTCTGCTTGCTCTTTGAGACGCATGTCTCACACGCTCATGGCGCACCTGTGAAATACCGTTCTTGAAATGCGGTTTCTATTTTCTCACAGTCTCATCTTTGCCTGCCCCTCTGGTCCCTAGATTCTCTTAACTCTGTGTTCCTTCCCTTCTTCCCCACACAGTTCTCAGCAACGTGCTTGCGCCCGCCCCCTGGCTGCTCTCACGCCCACTGGGGTAGCTGTAGTGGCCACCGGGGTGCTGCTGACCTCCAGATCCATTCCTGTGGCCAGGGCTCTCCTCCGGGGTCCACTGTCCGGACAACACAACGCCTTCACCTAGGTCTCCCTCAGGCATCCCATGTTCCACGAGTTCATAACTCCGACTCTCCCCTTACCGCGAGTATTTGCTCTCGTTCCTCATTCTTCATCCGCTTGCTCCCCAGGTCCTTTGGCTTCAGCTGCCTGGTTGCCTCCTCAAGCCCCCTCGCTGCCACCCTGGCCCAGGCATCATCGCCTCTTACTCGGTGGTGGGTGGGTGATTGAGCTTCTGGCCTGGCTTTTGCCCTCCCTGCAGGCCTGTTCTCCACATTGCAGCAGGGATGGCCTTTTAACAGCGCACACAGGACTGTCCTTTCCTCACCCTCACCCTCCCTGGTGCCCCATCGCGCTTGGGTCGAAACCCTAGACGCTCTCCCCAGGGCCTATGGGACTCCCCAGCCTTTGCACTCCCGCTCCCTGGCTGTCACGTTCCTCAGCAAAACGTGTTCTCTCTTATCTTCTGGGTTTTCAGGCTGTTGGCTCTGCTCACAGTAGCTCAGCACCACCCCACTGCCACCGCAGCTGGGGCCTCCTCCCAGCGGGGGCCGTCTCACCCCTGGGAGGCCACCCCAGGCCCATTCCTCTGTCACAGCGCCCGGCAGAGGGAAGCTGTCTCTCCTGCTCTGGGGGCCCCTTGAGGGCAAGACCTTGTCTGTTGGGGTCTTCATTCTCTGCCTACAGACTAGGTGATGCCGGCTGCATGCCGGCCCCATGGGGATGCACGGAGGTGACTGCGACCGTGTCTTGGAAGAGGCATGAGATTCCTCCCCGGAGAGAGCCATTGTGCAGCAGTTTAGCACTGGCCTCTAGGAAATGAGCAGGCTGCTTAAAGCAGCCAGCCAGGCAGCCAGCCGTTTATTTAAAAAGAACAAGCATTTCATCGTCAAAGTTAGCTTTAAATCTCACCTATAAAACTTAGTTGTGTGGGCCTGCAAGGAGTGAGTGTGGCGTCACACTCCCCAGTGTGGCTCCTCCCCGCGTTCCTCAAGGGGCGATCAGTTCCATATCCCACACTGGTGGAATTGGTTTAGGTTTAGGTTTTTTGTTACTCTTCTTTTTTTAAAGATTTATTTTATTTATGCAAGTACTGGGGTACAGGCCAGAGGTGCAGGGGGTGAGAGGATTCACCAGAGACAGAGCGGGTAACGGAACAGGCAGACGAACTGAAATACACTGCTGAGGGGAGCAGCGGGCGAGACAAGAGAGGTCTGCTGTGCCATGTGGGTAGCTCCCTGGCCGGCTGGGATCAAACCCGCACTGCAGAGGCTGCAGACAGCTTCACAGCGCTGTGCGCACCCCCCTGCACCTCTGGGAAGGCCCAGCCCTTGTTACTCTTAATTGAAAAAGCTGTTAAAAGGTTTTTCATTTGATTGCGTCAGTGCTAGAATTAACCTTGTCTGGCACTGGTTAATATAAAAGTAGACCTTCCAATTTATCTGATTTGTCTCAAGAAGGGATGATTTCTCATTCATTAGGATAAATTGACCATATCATTATAAAAGCTTATAAAATGCCTGATTCTGTCACAGTTCTAATTATACTTTGGTTATATTTCATTTTTGTCTTGATGTTTTCCCTCTAGGCTGAAAATCTATTGTTAGATGCTGATATGAACATTAAAATAGCTGACTTTGGTTTTAGCAATGAATTTACTGTTGGCAGTAAACTGGACACGTTTTGTGGCAGTCCTCCCTATGCAGCCCCCGAGCTCTTCCAGGGCAAGAAGTATGATGGGCCAGAAGTGGACGTGTGGAGCCTCGGGGTCATTCTGTACACCCTGGTCAGCGGCTCTCTCCCCTTCGATGGTCAGAACTTAAAGGTATAAATAAGAAGCTTTTGTGCCATGTTCTTCAGAAAGATCAAAGCATTTTACAAGGTGGAAGGGTTAAGTTTTTTTTTTTTTTTTTTGGAAGGGTTAGGATTTTAGCATGAGGGGTTTCAGCGGGACTTTTTGGGTTCTTGAACCTAAAAGTTGACTCACTTTTTTCTTTCTCTCTACCTGCCCAAAGGAACTGAGAGAGAGAGTGTTAAGAGGGAAATACAGGATCCCTTTCTACATGTCCACAGACTGTGAAAACCTTCTCAAACGTTTCCTGGTGCTAAATCCAATAAAACGAGGCACACTCGAGGTAATCACCTAAATGAGAGTGGTGACTTTAGAGGGTTTTTATTTTTTTAAAGATTTACTTATTTATTTATTTATTTATACATACATACATACATACATACAAGCACTGGGTACAGCCAGAAGCGTGGGAGGGTGAGAGAATTCATCAGAGACAGAGCGGGGAGCAGAGCAGGCAGAAGGACCGAAGTACACTGCTGAGGGGAGCAGCGGGCGGCAGGAGAGGTCTGCGTGCCATGTGGGACTCTCCTCCAGTGGCCGGGGAGCAGCCGGGGATTGAACCGGCGCTGCAGAGGCTGCGGGCAGCTTCGCAACCCAGCGCTCAACCACTGCGCCACCGGGGAGGCCCTAGAGGGTTTTTAAAGCGTTCTTAGAACTTGCATGGGTTGTGTGCCATATTGACTGCTGTTCTGGCGCTTTTTAAAATTACTCTCTGAGCTGTAATCAAAGAAATGTTGAAAATATATTTGTCAGCTGTTGCGATTATCAGAATGTTTAATTTCATGCTGCTAATAACAGCTTACCTTTCAGCAAATCATGAAGGACAGGTGGATCAACGCAGGGCATGAGGAAGATGAACTTAAACCGTTCGTTGAACCAGAACTAGACATCTCAGACCAGAAAAGAATAGGTAATCACTCTGCCACCTGCCTCCATGTGGTGTGGGGAGTGTCTGTTCTGACTCCTGGGGACGTGCGTGCATGTGTGTGACTTGTGCTCGTAGGTTGTGTGAGTCAGCTTTTTGTGATGTGTAGGACTGACCTGCGGGTTACCTGCTGTGATGGTACTTGGCAACTGACAGTCACACCAGCTGTTCATGTTAGAAAATCTGTGATCTTTTGGGTCAAATAAAGGAAATTATTTTACCCTGTAACACAGTGGTTTCTTACCTGAGCAAAGATACATAAATTATATTATGCTTTTCTTTTAGATATTATGGTGGGAATGGGATATTCACAAGAAGAAATTCAAGAATCTCTTAGTAAAATGAAATATGATGAGATCACAGCTACGTACTTGTTGTTGGGGAGAAAATCATCAGAGGTAAGAGTAATTGGAGAGAAAAACGCCAGAATATCCTTTATGTAAAGAATTTATGTAAACCACGTTCCTAGTCTTTATTAATATCTACAATATTCAGTTATATTATTTTTTTCTTTTTTTTTTTTTTTTTTAAGATTTATTTTTTCATACAAGCACTGGGGTACAAGGCCAGAGGCGCGGGAGGGTAAGAGGATTCACCAGAGACAGAGCGGGGAACAGAACAGGCAGACGGACTGAAATACACTGCTGAGGGGAGCAGCGGGCGAGTCAAGAGAAGTCTGCTGCGCCATGTGGGTATCTCCCTGGCCAGCTGGGAATCGAACCCATGCTAGAGAGGCTGTGGACAGCTTCACAGTGCTGCGCTCAACCCGCTGCGCCTCCGGGGACGCCCAGTATTATTTTTTCAATGTACCTGCAAACAGCATGTCTGACTTCCATGACCATTATGAGCTACTGCTTAAGGCAATTGCCTTCATGGTGGGTGTTGGTCCAGAGCAGACTTTCACTAGCCGCCCGTGGCTGTGATGGCTCAGACGTGACAGCGCGTCAGATGGGAGTAAATATTCCTGAGACTCACATCATGTCCTATAGGCTCACAAGTTCGTCAGCTCGAGAAAGAAAGGCCTAAAAATAGCATAAGTACCTGTCCTTTCGTGAGTTTTTCCAGAAGTCAGAAAAAAATACTTTGGCCTGAGTTTATCTTTTTCCTTAAAAGGTTGGTTTGTTTATTTACACATACAGAAGCCGGGGTGTAGGCCAGAGGTGGGGGGTGGTGAGTGGACTCCCTAGAGACAGTGGGGAGCAGAATAGGCGAATCCACTGAAACCCACTGCTGAGGGGAGCAGCGGGGAGTCAGGAGAGGTCTGCTGCGTCATGTGGGTCACCTCCCTGGTCGGGGGTCTCATTCAGGCCCCAGTGGTTGCCAGTGCTTGATAGCCCTGAGACTTAACCCCTGCGCCCCCACAGAGGCCCCCAAGTTTATCATTTTTGTGCACAGATTCTGCTCTCTCAGTGAAGCATTGAGAGAGGTGTGTGTGTGGTGAGAAGCTTAGTTTCCTAATAAACCATTTGGGTTCGTCTTGTGGTTTGCTCTGTTTTTCTCATTTTCCCTTAGCTGGATGCTAGTGATTCCAGTTCTAGCAGCAATCTCTCACTTGCTAAGGTTAGGCCAAGCAGTGACCTCAACAACAGCACTGGCCAGTCTCCTCATCACAAAGTACAGAGAAGTGTTTCTTCGAGCCAGAAGCAGAGGCGGTACAGTGACCATGGTGAGTCAGAGGCTGCACCTGTGTGGCTCTTGGAATTTACCCTTCCCCAGAGGCCCTTGCCTTGGGACACCGTCTTGCTCGGGCACCCTGGGGCTGGCCCCTAGCTGCATGGCAGCCTGACATTGCTGTCACAGCTGTCCTGCAGGCTCTGCCCTCCTTGGTCCAGTCTGTGGCATTTGTGGGGTAAGGGGCAGGCCTAGCTGGTAGAAAGCCTTCCCTTCACCCACTGGGGCCCCTGCTGCTGTTCTGGTTCCCCGTTCACACCTGTTCTTGTCTCCAAATCAGATTTGTTTTCTTGAGCAGCACTGCCTGCTAGAGTCTTGGGCCGTGGCACCAGTGTGTGGGGTCTGTGAGTAGCGTCCAGGCTGGACTCTGTGCGGTGGAGGAGCCACCAGGCTCGGGTGCCGTCGTGCACTGGAGGACGTGGTTTGCAGTTTTATCTAATTTTAATTAAGTTACATTCATAGAGCCACGAGTGGCTGGTGGGTACCACACTGGGCAGTGCAGCCCCGGGGAATGTGCAGTACTGCACGCACCCCTCCCCCCCAATTGATGTAAAGTTCTGACCTGTGTTGTTGTTGGCCGCACCTTGGCTATTGGGGTCCCCCTCCCCAATAGCCTGCCCCTCCCAAAGGCTTGCCATCAGAGTGACCCTTCTGTGGCGTGTAGAGCCCTAGAGGGCGTGCTTGCCAAGCTGGACAGTCGCTCTGCCTTAGACAGCCCGCCCTGTTGGCATCAAGAGACTACAGCTGTCTGTTTATTCGCCCGAGCCGACTGATGTCCACATGGCAGATGTTTCCTTTAATTTCTGGTGTTTGGGCTCAGGAACCAGATATCTCGGCCAGGTTCTAAAGATATTAAAACATGAGATGACTGACTTTGTAGTTGGGCTAGAGGTGGTCTGTCTTAACTAAGACCCCAAACACCACGAGCCCGGGGTTTGACTCCGTAAAAAACAAGCTGTGCCGCTTGGCCATGGGCTGCGGAACACGCCTCAGAACTAAAAGCAGATTTTGCTGGTCCTGAAGGAATTGTGAGTGGGGTCCCCTCAAAGTGTGACTCCTTCATACCACGTTCTCGACCAGCCGCAGGGTGGGGGGGAGGAGCCGAGGAAGGGTGGGGTGGTCACGTGACTGCTCGCGTGGGTTGAGCGCGCCTCACCCGTAAGTGGTCCGAGCAGAACCGGGACAGTACGTGGGGGCAGCAGTGGCCCCGAGAGCCCCGCTACTCAGCCTCGCTGCGGAGACGGACGCCGGCGCCCCGCCTGGCCCCGCGCGGCCTCGTGGCGGGTGTTGCGCAGCACAGCGGAGCGGGACGCTTAGCCGTTCTCCCGCGGAAAGGCAGGCCCTCTTTCCATCCCGCCTCAGGGATTTGCCGTGTACATTTTTGCCCCCAAAATGGCTGTTCCCTTTAAACTGGCCTGAAATACAAAGTCTGCGCTGCTGTGGAATGAGCAACGAGCCTGGGGCCGTCCTTGCCTCGCGGGATGGTGCCCGGAGCGCTGGTTCCCAGCTGGCCCCGCACGGCTGCGCATCTCCAGGCAGCTTTTCACTGTCGGGCCATTGTTTGACCAGCGCGCCCCGGGTGCACTGCTCCCAGGGAGCGGGGGTGCAGTCAGGAGCCTCCTCCCACTTGCTGTCTGCTCCTTGCCTGAGGAATGTGTTTTCCCGGGGGTGCTACCTTTCCCTGTCTGCTCAGGTGCCTGCTGGCCCAGTCGGTGATTACGCTGTAGCTAAGTCCAAGCTAAGACTTAAGAAGTCAGCTGTAAGCCTGTGCTGTTCTCTCCGGAAGGCGCCGGCGCCTCCTGTACAGACAAGGGTCTAAGTCTCTCAGATGTGCCAGGTGCAGCAGTTGGTGCTGCATGAGCCTGCGCTGGCCGTGGAGTGGTTAGTTCTCCGGACAGCAGCATCCCCTGAAGGGCTTCTGGAGGACAGCTGCACCATCTTGACCATAGGTCACCTTGAGAGACGCAGAAGGGAAATGTCAAGGTGAAGTGCATTGCTCAGGGCAGCACACGTGGAAAGCATCCTAGGATTTTACTGTAACTTCTTTTAGATGAATCGCAGTCCTAGGTCATCTCATAAAATGCGTATATTTTCATAGAATACAATGTGAAGTTATATTCAGACTTTGGAAAGTGAACTCTTTTATTGTAGCTGGACCAGCTCTTCCTTCAGCAGTGGTGTATCCGAAGCGGAGCCAGACCAGCACTGCAGACGGCGACCTCAGAGAAGATGGCGCTCCCTCCCGGAAGCCCGGCAGTGCTGCGGGGGCGAAGGGTGCGGCCCCTGCCAGCCCCCTGCTCGGGAACGCAGGCAACCCCAACAAGGCGGACATTCCTGAGCGCAAGAAGAGCTCCGCTGTCCCTGGCGTAAGGGCGTTTGGGTGGTAGGGCGGGGAGGGGGGTGGCAAGGGGGGGTGAAGGGGTCTTGGCATTTTGCTCCTAGGGCCTCACCAGCCAGGAGTGCCCTCCCCACTAGGCCACCGAGCCCCATCTCAGGAGAGGTGACCTGCCTGCTTGAAGGGGTTTCTTGTGGGGTCCCAGCCCGCATGATCAGGTCCTTTGGCAAGGGCTGCTTCTAGGTTTCCACAAGCACCTGCTGAGCTCTGGGTCGCATCAGATACAGAGATGGAAAGGCCTCAAGGTCCAACAGGAAGTACACGATGCCCAGTGGTGGCAGCACAGCGGGCGCAGTACACAGCCCAGCTGGGTGCAGCTGCCTGTGGGCCTGCGCGTGTGGTGCGTGTGCCAGGTACTTTCTGTGCACTTGCCAGATTTTATGGTGAAGAAAAGTTGGTAGTTGTCTAAAATTATTCTGAGCCCAGCTCTTACTCCTTTCCATCAACCAGGTCTGCCCAGTAAGTGGGTAGCGTCTGCTAAGTTGAGCTCCGTACAGCTTCAGGCTGTGTTGTGGCTGAGCACAGTAATCATGACTTGCCACACTCCGAGGTAATTGGAGAAAGAATTTGCAGAGAATGAACAATATTAATAGATACTTCCTGCAAAGCTAGAGCTGGCAGACCCCGCCACCCGGAGACACACTCAGGGAGGGGCGCTCATGGAGGCTCTGCTCGCCCACGGTCTGCGAGTTTCCTTGCAGATTTAACTTATTTACAATCCTTGCTTTTTAATTTTTTTTTTGACAATACTAACTTTTTTTTTTTTTGACAATACTAACTTTTAAAGTTGTGGATCTCAGTCTCCTCACTGTTTTACTGGCCCACGAGTTACTACTCTGTGAATTGTACCATCCAGTTTTTTTTTTTTTTTAATAAGATTTATTTATTTATGCATACAAAAACTGGGGTGTAGGCCAGAGGTGTGGGGGTGAGAGGATTCAGCAGAGACAGAGTGGGGAGCAGAACAGGCAGATCCACTGAAACCCACTGCTGAGGGGAGCAGCGGGGAGACAGGAGAGGTCTGCTGTGCCCTGTGGTAGCTCCCTGGCCGGCTGGGATTGAACTAATGCTGCAGAGGCTGCAGACAGCTTCACAGTGCTGTGCTTAAGCCCTGTACCTGCGTCACCGGGGAGGCCCTGTACCAGGGTGACTCTGCCATGGCCATTTGTCATCTTTCTGCCAGGAGAGAGGGTAGAAATCGATGCCTCTGCCCCCTTTTCTGAGCTCAGTACTGTGGATCTTTGAAATGAAATTTTTTTCATTATACTATACTTAATAGTTTGACAGAAATCCCGCTTTTTGATAGACCAACAGTGCATCTGGCGGAATGACACGACGGAACACTTACGTTTGCAGTGAAAGAACCACCGCTGACAGGCACTCAGTGATTCAAAATGGCAAAGAGAACAGGTAGGAAGCTTTACCTGCTGGTAAGAAAATTTGTTTTTCCCAAGAGAAATGGAAGCAGGTTATTTATTTAATTTTCATAAACAGTTCAAATAACAGCGGTAAGTAGTCTCTGCGGTAAGTTCCATCTGAATGCTAATTTTTAGTGAGCTGGAATTCAAGCATGAGAAAGTTCCTCACGGTGAGCAGCGCTTCCCCTCCCACTCAGCTGCGTGGTGATGGAAAGGGTTGCGCCAAACCAGGGACGTTTGTTCGGGGAGGGCGTCAGCTGAGCTTGACCTTAGGATGGTGGGGAGGGAAATGGAAGCTGCTTTGTGAAGGTAGTGACCCGAGCAAAGACCGAAAGGCGGCGGGTGAGACCTGAGGGAGGACCTGGGTCTCTGGGGAGGAAAGGGGTGCGGCTCAGCAGTCTGCCTGGGGGTGAGGGGCCAGGAGTGACTTTAAGCTCCACTTTTGAAAGGTTCTCACTGGAGAATCGGGTGGGGGGGAGGTTTCTGAGTGATTTTAACCTGGTGGAGAGAGGATGTACATGGGGTAATCGGGACTTGAAATAGTAATAAAGTAACGTGTCGTCAAGGAGAGCACAACAGTGCGGGGAACTTTCTTGGACTTAGACTGTGGGAAATAGGTAGAATCAGAAAAGTGGGATTAAGTAGGTTCAGAAACCACAAGAGGTAGAGTCACTTTGGGAGGGGAGAAAAAAAGGAAAAAGTTGCATTGGTAGACTAGTGAAAACACATTCTTTTTTTTTTTTAAGATTTTTTTATACAAGCACTAGGTACAGTCAGAAGCGCGGGAGGGTGAGAGAATTCACCAGAGCCAGAGCGGGGAGCAGAGCAGGCAGAGGGACCCAAGTACACCACTGAGGGGAGCAGCGGGCAGCAGGAGAGGTCTGCGCGCCATGCGGGACCCTCTTCCGGTGGCCGGGGAGCAGCCGGGGATCGAACCGGCGCTGTGGAGGCTGCGGGCAGCTTCGCAACCCAGCGCTCAACCGCTGCGCCACCGGGGAGGCCCCCTCCTTTTTTTTTTTAAAGATCTATTTGTGCATACAAGAGCTAGGGTACAGGCCAGAGATGCGGGGGCAGGGGGGGCATGAGAGGATCCACCAGAGACAGAATGGGGCACAGAACAGAAAAAAATGACTAAAATACACTGCTGAGGGGAACAGCGGGGAGGTAGGAGTGGTCTGCCTCACCATGTGGGTAGCTGCCTGGCTGGCCAGCGATGGAACTCGTGCTGCAGAGGCTGGATAGCTTGCTTCATAGTGCTGAGTTCAACCCCTTGCACCATCAGGGAGGCCCCCTGAAAATACATTCTCATCTATAGAACCTATTTCCCAGGCTAGCATAGCTTTTCCTTCTTTCTTTTTGGAAGAGTCATGCATGAACTAAATTCAGAGTGAGGGGAGAGAGTCCAGCGATGGGAACTCCCAGAGTAGACACTGTGGGGTGGGCCCATGTCGTGGTTCCCAGGCTTCCTGACGGGACCCTCCTGGGCATGTGTCACGTTCCTGGGTGTAGCTTCACAGTTTCTTTTTTGCTGACAGCCACTTTCTGAAATCGTGTCCCAGGGTTCCTGTCCCCTTAGGTCTCGCTGGTCACTATGACAACCAGAGCAAAACTTCTTTATTCCTCCATCCTTAAAGCCAGGTTATTTCTCATTTTCCTCTTCCACAGATCACTAAAGTTGGAATTGATACGAAAGTTTAAACTTGTTTTGTAGGATGATGTTGATTATTGAGTGAATTTTTAGAAATATTTACACTCCAGGCTTCTCTTTTCTGACTCCTATGTCTTTTTCCTTATGATTAAAAGCTGTTAAGGGCCTCCCTTGGTGGCGCAGTGGGTTGAGCGCCGTGCTGTGAAGCTGTCCACAGCCTCGGCAGTGCGGGTTCAATCCCGGCCAGCTGGCGAGAAAATCCCACATGGTGTCACAGACCTCTCCTGTCGCCCCCACTGCTCCCCTCAGCAGTGTATTTCTGTCATCTGCCTGTTTTGCTCCCCACTCTGTCTCTGGTGAATCCTCTCACTCTCCCATGCCTCTGGCCTGTACTCCAGCTCTTGTATAAAAATAAATAAATCTTTTAAAAAAGAAAAAAAGAAGTGTTAAGAACTTGTGTATAGCAGTTGGGCTCAGATTGTTTACAAATAATACTTGGTATACTTAATCACGGTTACATTCTCGTCTGTCGGGTTTCTGCTAGCTCAATGTGATTTGATAGAAGAGATTAGTAGAAGACTTAGTGTTTATAAGTATTTGTGTTTATGAAACTAAAAACATGTTTTATGGATCTTCTATTTACAAATTCTTCTAATTTGTTGAACTCTCCTATCAGATTCCTTTTGAACTTTAGAATGTACGATTCTCCACAGGCCAGACTCTTTAAAGGGCTAGTCAGAGAGACCTGCCACCCCAGCCCACCCCACAGCCCCTGCTGCCCAGAGCCTTTGAAGGGTTCCTTGCTGCCTGTAGGCGCCTTTCTCCTCGGGACTGACTTCCTTACCCTGACTTGGGCCTCGTTGTTCCTGTTAGCATTACATGTTTAGAGGCTTGGCTTCTGAAAGCATCTTGTTCTTTCAGCAGAGCCATGGCTTCCGACACAAAAGCTCGAGCCTGGATACCTGGTTTGCTTCTCTCTTACAAATGAATTGAGAAACAGTGGGAAATTATTGGAGGCTTGAGAGCCAAACTAGGGGTCATATTTTCTCCTTTCAGGGAAGGCACTAAATGTGACAGATTTCTCACCTGTAAGATAGATGCTTGAGTGTTTAGATGCACCAAGGCTTATCTCTGCACAGGTAACTTCTAGGCAGATTGTTGCTTCTTCCTCTCACATATATGTGTCTTACTCCGTGACTGAAATAGTAAGAAGCTAGAAGAGCCTGGATCTGTGCTGACTTCTGTTGTTGTTGTTGTTTGTCTTTTTTTTGTTGTTTTAATATATTTTTAATTTTTTACATCATTGTTCACTTTTAAACAATATTTGCTTCCCCCCACCCCCTCAAGTGTAGTCTCCATAGAGTGTCCTTCCCCAGTGCACCCCAGTCCCCTGGGCTCCTCCCTCCTCCCTCTGCTCCCTCTCCCGCCTCCTCCCCTGCCTGATGTCTCTGATTTATAATTGTCCATTTTTGCTTTGCTGTGTTTTGTACTGTTATTATTTTTTTTACACTGATGTCTTATTTGGTTCCTCTGTATTCCTGCTATAAGTGAAACCATCCGATATTTTTCTTTTTCCTTCTGGCTTATTTCACTGAGCATCATTCCTTCTAGTTCCAGCCATGTTGCTGCGAATGGATGAGTTTGTCTTTTTTGGTTGCTAAATAATATTCCATTGTGTATATATGCCACATCTTCCTGATACAGTCATCTGTTTTTGGGCATTTGGGTTGGTTCCAGGTTTTACCTATTGTAAATAGTGCTGCAATAAACATACGGGTGCAGGTGTTCTTTTGTTTTTTGTTTTTCGGGGTTGTTTTTTTTTTTTTAATTTTTCTATTCCCCGTACAATTGCAACCCCCTTATTTTGACCCCAAGCCCTCCTTTCCCCAACCCCCACCCCCCATAGAGTGTCTCTGGTTCATAGTTGGATTTTGATTTTGATTTTGATTGCAGGTGTTCTTTTGAATCAATGTTTTTGTGTCCTTTGGATAGGTCCCTAGGAGTGGAATGGCCGGCTCATATGGTAGCTCCATGTTTAGTAGACTGAGGAACCTCCAGACAGCTTTCCATCGTGGTTGGACTGGTTTGCACTCCCACCAGCAATGCAGGAGAGCTCCTTTTCACCACATCCTCGCCAACGTTTGTTGTTGCTAGTTTTTTTGATATGTGCCATTCTTACTGGTGTAAGATGGTATCTCAATGTGGTTTTGATTTGCATCTCCCTCATTATAAGGGATGTTGAACATTTTTTCATAGGCCTGTTGGCCATTTGCATTTCCTCTTTGGAGAAATGTCCTTTGAGTTCTTCTGCCCATTTCTTTTTTTTTTTTTTTTAAAGATTTATTTATTTATGCATACAAGGGCTAGAGTATAGTTCAGAGGTGTGGGGGATGAAAGGATTCCACCAGAGACAGAGTGGGGAATAGAACAGGCAGACTGACTGAAACATACTGCTGAGGGGAGCAATGGGGGTCAGGAGAGGTCTGCTGCACCATTTGGGTAGCTTCCTGGCTGGTGGGGAATCGAACTCGTGCTGCAGTGGCTGTGGATTGCTTTATAGGTTGCGTCTTCACCCTTGCGCCACCAAGGAGGCCCAGCTTCTGCCCATTTCTTTTCTTTTTTTAAAAGATTTATTTTTTTATGCATACAAGAGCTGGGGTACAGGCCAGAGGTGTGGGGGGTGAGAGGATTCACCAGAGACAGAATGGGAAACAGAGCAGGCAGATTGGACGAAGTATGCTGCTGAGGGGAGCAGCAGGTGAGGACGAGTCAAAGAAGAGGTCTGCTGCACCATGTGGGTTGCTCCCTGGTGGGCCGGGGGATTGAACTCGTGTTGCAGTGGCTGCAGATAGCTTCATAGGTTGAGTCTTAACCCCTTGCGCCACCAGGGAGGCCCCTTTTGCCCATTTCTTGACCGGATTGTTTACTTTGTTTTGTTGAGTCGTGTGAGTTTGTATAGCTTTGTGATCAGTCCCTTATCAGTAGTATGGAGGGCAAAGATTTTTTCCCACTCGGTGTGGTGTCTTTGTTTTTGGCTAATGTCTCTCGCTGTACAGAAGCTTGTCAGTTTGATGTAATCCCAGGTGTTTATCTTTTGTGCTGACTTCTGAAAAAAGAATTCCGATTTTCATTTTCATTGTCTATGTTGGACTTTTTGCTTACATATGTGAGTGTTTATACAGAATTCCAACTGGAAAATGGTGATGGCTGATGTGATCTGTGTGAACATTTAAGCCAAAGTCTCCCCACACCCCATACTCTTCTCCAACTGCTCTGAACAAGGCATGGTGCTTTACAGCCTCACCAGATGTGTTCTCAAGAAAAAGGTAGATTTTTAATAGTTC